AATAGATGCTGGTCACTGTCAGGGGTCAAAGGATTAATAACTAATGACTCAGCATTTTGCTTGTTATGTTGACACAATGCAATTTTGTTTTAGTAATGTATTTGTCTTAATTAAAAGCTACAAAAGACTGCAGCTTGATAGTTTTAAGAGCAGGATGAAGTATACATAGATAAATGAAATTTGTATTTAAAAAGAAGCAATTCTCTATACTGATAGGATAATTGCATAGATGAATCAGACATCATTGTTTGTCAATTAATTAACAAGCTTTTAGCTGTTATGTTTAGGTAAAACCATACTTTTATTTATTTACTCCAGTGTATTTCTTTCTACAGGATATAAAGATTAAATTTTAAAATATTTGCTTGTATTAATAAACATACATCCTTCAGAACTTTGTTTTAAATTACATTCAGGGTTGTCATTCTTTTGGTATATGAAAGTTTCTTCACAAGGTGTTACCACACATTAGCAAGTCTTGCTGGTACCTAATTAATTGTCAAGCTAGATCGTATTTAAATTCAATAGCTTTTCTAAGTTTGAGTCTTTTCCAAATCCTTCTCGATCATAACGCAGCACGTAAAATGAGGTTGTTACCCTTAGTCATACCCTTAATGTTTTACTGAATAAATAATTTGAAACGCCGTCGTTTGCGTGACAGCAATAATTGACTCGCCGCTGTAACTTTGAAGTACGCGACCATCCTCAGGAAGTTTCTCGAGGTGCCGCTTCTTGAGAAAATTCTCTCCCTTAAATCTAGCCGGAGATCAAATTTCTCTACTGTGTCGAGCTTTTGGAAACTGAGCGTGATTTTCTCACCATTCTTGGTCTCTCATCCCATAGTTGGGTTTATTTTCTGCAAAAACGAACTCTCCTTACGCATTGTTTCTCCGCAGAAAACTTCATCTTCGCATTTCAAAACCGGTCTCCTCTCTCTGTTTCATCCTCCATGCCTAAATGCCTTAAAAATAGTTTGTTTAATGTGTTCGCGCTGTCATTATTTGCAGCCACTTTTGAATAGGCCTTTACCTTTCGTGCCAACTGCCGCTGCCGATTTCTCCGCCAGCGCGCATCAGAGATGCGAGAGGAAAACCCTTGGCAACTGAGCATCATTTGCTCGGGTGCTAGGAATTCATCTACAATGACTGATTTGCGGCTCAATATTCATGATTTCCATGCCCCATATCCTGAGCCACCTCTGCAGGATCTGCTATGATTCCAGTGTGTTCTCCTATTTTAAATTTGTCTTCTAGGAAGGCCTTCTGCTTAGCACTAAAATGGGAAGCCTTTTTCGAAGATCATAATGCCCAGCTCTACGGTAACTCCTGAACTCTTTACTCTGCAATCTCAGAAGTGGCAATATAGGTCTGTGCACTAGATCCTTCCTGATGTTTTTCAAAGGCATCTTTGCCTTGTCGAGAAGCGAGTGCCTTTCCTCTGTAAATATGCACTTGCCGTACTGTATACGCCGCAACACTTTGCAGTGGTGCTGAAAAGTACTCACGCATCCTTCAACTTAAAAAGAAAAAAATATCGGCGTGTTTGTTGGCAAAGGATGCAGCTTCTCTTCTTAAACGATGTCTTCTGTATTTTCTTGAAGAGGAGACTGCTTTTTGTCAAACAAAAAGATGTCTTAGAATTCTCCAAAAGAAAAGTAACCGTCGGGAAAGACTGATTCCCTCTCTGAACCCATCAGTTTGAACAAAAAAAAAAAGAGAGCATAAAAGGATGGCCATAAAAAATGACTATAAATAACGCGCGTGAAAAATTAACAATTGGTAAAAGTGAGCCAGAATTATAAGGAAAGAATGCTAGTGTTTGTGGTAACTGACGTGTGCTTTGCAAATTGGGGCCCAGGACATTGGGGTCCGCATGTCGTGTAATCCGAGAGAAGCAGAAGGTAGTTCACGACAACATTTCGTGAAGCGAATGCGCAATCTATGTTTGGCGCTAATGCATGGTATGTACAAACTCATCAACAATACTCAAATTAAAGTGTAAATATGGCAAACATGTTAATTTTATGGTTCGTTACCAGTTTCAAATTGTATCCGTATCGTATAGGGCGGTTTTTCCATTTTGGCTTGTTTTGTTTGTAAAATAACCGCTAACATTTTGAATATCAGGTTACCTGAGCAACAAAAAACGACCAAAGTTGAACTAAATTAGCTTTCTATCCAGTGTAGAAACGATTTTTCGCACCAAAACGGCCTGGTGTCTTTTCAACGTGCGCATTGTTGATTTTTCACGTCGAATTGCGTGACAAGGAATGGTGTAGTTTGACCTCTGTGTCAGTTTTATTTGTGGTCCTAAAATTTCGTAGTCTTGAGTAGCCCAAAAATTCTATTGGATTTTTGTCAATAAGAAGCCTTCTTCTTCGCTGGATTAACTTAGTTTAGACGTATATTCTGCCAAAGGTAGGGGATTTTCAATTTCTCCATATTGCACACCTCCAGGCGCTATTTAGGGAGCGCCGCTCTTAACTAATTAAGTTTAATTTGATCTACGAAAAAATTCGGCCAAAGTCGCTCACCATGTAAAAGTTTGTTTAGGATGATGCTATTTTATTACTTTCTTTGTATTTATTACCGAAGTTATCACCTCAAATTTCTAAAAAAAGGAGCTTCTTCCTGTTCGACGTTGTACACTTTTCTCATCCACAAAATATTTCTATTAGATTTTAAAAACAATTTTCAACGAAAAGACTTAAAAAAAGAACAAAATGGAAACAACACACCAGACCCCTATTGCACCCTAACTCTCGCGCATCCCTTAATCCAGTTTAACAGAAATATAAACAAAAGTAAATGATAAGATTCAAGTACGGTTATAGGGAACCGGATGTCCGCTATAAAGGTCTTATAGAATCCGTGGGGGTTCGTGAGTTTTCTAACACCGTCCTGGATTTTGTGATAATGTGCAGAGAAAAGAGCTGAGGTTGTCACCACTGGTATTTTGTTAGTTAATTGAGATAAAGAAACGTGGTTCAGAGACACTAGAATATGGGGTCTGGATTTAAGAAGGACTAGTACACGGGATTCGTACCTCCTCCAAAGTCTTGAACATTTTTTTCAGATCAAAAAAACTTTCTAAATTTCGCGTAGACCGTGGCAATGTTTACAGTTATTGCACTGTAAATTTAAATGACTGGCTCATTTAAATTGAATTGTCACTATAGGTGTCACCAAGCTGTTTTTTGACTTTTATGTTTTTATTTATGTTTCTTCTTTTGTTTGTTTATTCCATTTGTTCCTTCGTGCAACGAAGAATAATCAGAAGAAGACTGAAACACAGCCTTAAACACTGAACTACATAGAACATTCTTGACTTGATAACGAGACTATTTAAGGAAGAGGGTAACGGTCTAACAAATTCCCTTACAAAAGTTTTCTTTGATAATCCATTTTTTCGAACGAATACAATGCATGTTTTAGAGGAAATTTTCTAGTCTATATTTTAGTGCGGCTTTATTGGGACATAAGCAATGATATACATGAAATATGCAATATAACCCACGCATTCAAATTTCTGTTTTGAAGGTGGGATTTGACTTGTTCCTCTTACACCAATATTAAAAAAGACTCCAAACTTACAGC